ACTCCAAGAATTGTGCCTGTTTGATTTTTCCTTCTATTACTAAAAAACATAATGTTAATTTATGAGCTTATAACTTGTAGTTGTCATATTTTTTATCTTTGAATCGGACTAAGTTACCTTTTCTCTCTATGCTAGCAGGTTGCTGGCTATAGCTTCTTCTTTAGCGTATTAAGAGCGGTGTGACTTAAAACTTGTAAGATCAACATGTGTCCACATATCAACACGTAATACAAGTAAAATCTAACAGTAGTGATATAATAACTGACTACAGATGGCCAAGAGGTTTAAATACATACCACTGCAGACAACCTAGCTGACATAATTACGCCTCTCTGATAAGCACTTGAGAGCATCTTCTTTGGCCGTGTTTGTTTTTCTGCCTTCACTTGACGTCGAGTGTCTTCGTGCTTATGAAAAATCAGGCCGAACCAGTGAAGGCTCCTCTCACAGGAAATGGTCAAATATGTGCAACGAATTTCAATTATTTCACTGTTTATTCGAAGCAAATCTTTTCTGGTGTACAAATAATAAAAATGACGATCATTCATAGCAAAAACAATTTCCGAGATGTTTAAATGTTGATTGCATGACCACATCTTTGCTGATGACATCTATCCAGCCTGTAAACTCTTAAATTGTCAATTTGGAACCATAATAATGATTTTCAGGGATGTTTATCAGTCGCAAAAACTTTGAGCACACTATCTGTGTGTTACCTTCTTCAAAATGGCTTTCACTATGGGAAGCACCAATATTTCAAGACCTGTGTACATGTTTCAGTTTTTTGTTTGTTTGTTGTTGTTGTTTTTGTCATTTAGCCATTTTAATCATTTTAATGACAGTACTTGCCTTCCTGCTTGTAAACATTTCACCAAACAAAGCCTCCAGACATTATTTTGCCGGGGGCACCATCACTACATCCTGGGCTTGTGATTAGTTTAATGATATTCAAACAAGTCAGATTATTTCTTTCACCCTATATCAACATTATAACAGAGTACAGTCAGACCATTCTTCATCATTACATCCAGCCATTAAAATTATAGTTTTCTAATTTCTCACACGTTTACTTATTTTCTTTTTTACAGTAACCACTGAATTTCTTTGTATGGCTTCCAAGTCAGAGCAAAAAAAAAAATTGGCTTTCTGTGCTCTTTCCAAACTTAAGCAAAGAGATAACCAGAGACCAGACAGTTTTATTGGAGGCTGTTATTGCAGTTATTGCCAGTGGCCCGGGGCTAAATTTGGTTTGAGACCTCTGTCTTCACAAAAAAGACATCAGAAAAGTTTTGATTGGAGTCAGAAATCTCACGACTGAAAGTTTGGGAGAGTTTTTCCGAGTTGACTAACTGATCAACTATTCAGCACACTGGTCAAGATTCCTTTGTGAAGCGCTGCTAAAGCTCAACTGACGTCTGTTGATAGCAAGTATGTGTCAGCACAGATTCATGCCAAATAATGTGTAGCATTCACAGATCGTTCCTGATCCTAATAATACAAATGACACATTAACTGAAGCAGGATTTTCTTATTGTTAGAGGCAGACCATCAACAGTTTCCTCAACAACACAATGATCTCATTTCGTTTTAAGTGACATGTGAATCTTGCATTTTTATGGAGCTATAATCAGAATATTTACCCAAATAAATCATAAATAACAGTGCTGGGATGCACATAATGGCACTCTATTGTTTCTCAGTTTCTTTCTATTGTGTTTTGCCCTTTTGTCTTTCCTCTCTTGTGCACTCCCACCTCACTCAACAGACAATCCCATACATACACTAGTACACATCTCATACTCTTGCACCGGAAACTGGGTTAAATAGACGATGTTTCCGGCGAGGAGCTTCCATTTGTGTTTTAATTTAAACGTCCTATTTCCTCTGCAGTACAGAAAATACACAGTGAAGCGCTGACATGTACTGAAAGCCTATCTTTAGCACATCAAATGTCTTTTATTTAATGACAGGGTTTCTGGGTAATGTTAGGCTTACGGTCTTACTGTTTCTTTCTCCGATCTTCTAGGCGTGGATATGGACAACACGAGGTGGGTGTTTTTTTTCCGCTGTGTGCCTGCTACAGTTGCATGTGCTTTATTTTCGTTCTGTTTCTTTTTTTTGTTATGCCGTGCTTTCTTTTCTACTCTTTTTTTTTTCCACTTATTTCTCTTTGATACAATCTAGACGGAGTAGCATGAATACAGTGCCTTGTGTCTGCCTTTCATTTTACCTGTATAATTTACTGTTTCCCCTTTGTAAAAGCATTTTACCCAGGAACTATGCAGTCCATTGATGGTGCAAATAAAAATGTAAATGTAAAAGTCAACCAGTCTATTTAAATTCCAAAAAGTTGGCTTATGCATTTTTAAGCATCTTATAAAGAGTATATAGACGTGCTGGAGAAGCTATTTCACCAGAACTTCATTGTTCAATATGTACGTAAATGTTCTTATTGTATATGGAGTCATTCAGTCACTTGGACCGTATATACATTTTAAAACTCAGTTTAAATTACAAAGTAATATCCACTATTTGGAAAAATACCTGCTGCCACTAATTGACAAATACAAAATACACACATATTGGATGTGTTGTATTCCAGAGACACTGAATGATAACCATCAGATATCGAGCGCTGATCTTCTTCCATTTGTATTTTCATTCTCCACTTTTCTCTCCACTCTGGCAGACGCAACAACTTCTCCGACCGTCTCTGCTCAGGCCAGAGGTAGTCCGTCTCTCTCCTCTCTGAATACTTCTTTACTCACCGTGTTTTTTCTACTCGAGTTTGTTGAAGTGGAAGTGTGTGTGTGTGTGTGTGTGGTTGTATACTGGTTTGTGTGTGTCTGTTTGTGTGAAGCTGCTAATAATGTTCTGTCAATCTAACAGGAGTTATCAATGGAGTCTGGCATTGACCCTGGACAGGACTACTACACACAGGATTATTACAACTATGATCACGGGTTAGTACATCTCTGCACGTCCTACATATTGCTTTTGCACATACGGGTTGTATGTCATAGTTTACTTCTCTATCTTTCGATGCTTTATCCATCGCTGTTTTACACTTATCCAGCTATTCAAGCTTTCAGATTCTCTCTGAGCTCGTTGCCAAATTAACAGCATTGTAGTCGGTGAAAGAGCTTCTCTGGAGCTTCCTATTGTATCACACGAGTTGTCATGAACATGTAGATTTTCAAATTTCCATTTTTTTTATGAGCACTTAGAGGACATCTGATCTGCACCATTGAGCCAAAACATTATGACCACTCACAGATAAAATGAGTAATGTTGAGTATCTCGTCACAATGGTGCATGTGGAGGTCTGGGATATATTAGACAATAAGGGAACAGTCGGTTCTGGATGTGCGAGGAATGGGCTGCTGTGAAGACCTGAGCGACAAGGGCCAGGCTGGTGTGATGTTCCTGGTCAGTGGTGGTGAGTAGGGACAAGGAGGAACAAGCCACAGAGTAACATAATACAGGCTCCACTCTGTGGGTAATGGAGGAACGTGTCATCACACAGGGGATCACAACCTGCTGCGTACGGGGCTCATGCCGACCCCTGGCCTCCATCCAAAGCACCCACAACGGGAATACAAGCTTTGAAACTGGATCTTTGACCAATTGATTCTAATGAGTCCCCCTTTTTTTAACATCACATGAATGAGTGGGTTTATGCTGTTAACCTGGAGCACTTCTACCTGGTAATAAGAGGGACAGTAAAGCAGTCAAATGTACAGCAAGAGTGAGTTGATTAGAAACGTTTGTTAAGTCACAAACAAATCCAGCAGAAAATAAGTTTCTGCTTGTTTTGAATGGAGTTGGAGTTGAATGGAGTTCTGGATAAAGGTTTATGCACATATAGCAGTAAGTTAACTGGGATATTTTAGCCAGAACTCCAGGCATTCCTGTGGAAACCTCTCCAAACTCTGATGTGTTTGCAAAACTCCTCCTTGTTTTTTTTTTTCTGGTCCAGAATTTGCCTCGTTGACAGATTTTAACTTTGGTTGCGGATTACAGAAAAACCGGACTGTGCGCCAGGAAGTTGGAAAATGTAGTTGGCTAACAGACTATTCAGTTGTTGACTGTCAAATCTTATAAATGTGTAATAACAAAAGAAACTTGTCTCACTAGTTTATCACATGCTAGCTGTGTAACATGCCGAGTACACACATACTGTATTCTGGTAGATCAATGGTAGCAACTGGACTTGCTTGAGTTCCTTGAAGACGTTTCATCCAAGAGGCTTCATCAGTTCTGACTGACTAGTTGGGAGTTCCACGTACTGATATCCTAAAGGAGCCATTAACACCTGAGTTTCAGTTTCAGTTGGGGGTAGTTACTCCTCCCCCTCGTTATGTGAGTCGTTCGTGCTTCCTCTGACACAAAGGGGTTTGTTAGGGTCCTTTGTGGCTAGGTATGAATGTGGTTTCATCTTTCTGCGTAGAGATCTTAGGACTGAACTGTAAACAGATGAGAGGTGATGCCTCAGACCTCCACCTCTGTTGAGGGATGGTCTCTCCAGTTAGATGGCTTCTGTCACCCCTCTCTCAAACCATCTGTCCTCCCTGCAAGTCAAAATCTGTACATTGTTGTCTTTGAATGAGTGTCCTTTGTTCTTTAGATGCAGGTGGACTGCTGAGTCCTGTCCTGAGGTGTTAATGGCTCCTTTAGGATATAAGTATCTGGAACTCCCAACTCGTCAGTCAGAACTGATGAAGCCTCTTGGATGAGAGGTGAAACGTCTTCAAGGAATTCAAGCAAGTCCAGTTGCTACCATTAATCTACCAGAATAACCAGGACCTGGATGACTGAGAATCTTCACAGACACATACTGTAGTGGCTCATAGGTCCTAAAACAGAACTTTTCACTCAAGTGGCTTCACACATGACGTTGTCGCTTTTTTTTGCCAAGTATTTTTGAGCCTGTGTGGGGAAGTCATGCTTCAAGCACATGTTTCATAAAACTGGCCGGTAAAAACTTGTAGCATCTGTTTAGCAGCTGATTAGCCTTTCCCGTATGGCCTTGCATTGACCACCAGGGGGCCTGCTCTGTGTATCCATAGACTGTGTAAAAGGTGGACGTAGCTACCGTGATGTCACCCGTTGGTTTCTGCACTAAGAAAATGAAGCCAGGGTTTTGCTACTTCCTGGTTGACATCTTGGATTTTTGGAGCCAGTAACGCGGAGCCATAGGAGCAGCGATTGGTCAGACGGATTGAGAGGCGGGCCCTCTCTGCCCGCCCACATTTACCGCCTTCTGCTCGCTTCATCTGCATCGTCGCTGCCGACTGTCAATCAAGCCAGCCACGCCCCCTGCCCCGCAAAATGTTGACGATTTTTAAAAATTCAGTATTGATTTATTTTCAGATTGGCCACCTGATCTCTGGACTTGACTATAAAAAGTAATAAGAAAAAAATCCTGAGCTGGAGGAATGCGGCATTTTGTAATCTGTGATCACTTCTTTTCCAATTCAAGTCAATGGGAGCCAGGGCTCTTTGGAGCCAGCAGCTGGCGGATGTAGGTTTTTGACACTTCGGGTTGGCTTCATTTTTCAGGGCTGGTTGCTACGTCCATCTTTTATACAGTCTATGTGTGTGTCATACAGATTTACAGACATAAAGCAAAACTATGTGGAAACAAGGCATTACTAATGAGATTCTCAATACAAATACAACTTTGTGAAACATCAAAAACTCACTCGGTCTTATCAATTCCATCAGTCACAGCTGGATCAAAAATTATGTTACCCCCCTTTATTACAGAATTTTATATTTCCCGAGCAGCGTAGTGATTGTAGAGGTAGAAAACAACATAGCCCCATGTACCAGTCATGATACGCAGCTAAAAAAAAAACACTGCAAGAGGTGAATCGAGGCCAACTCCACTATGTGTCATCTCTGACCTCTGACCTCTGGCAGTGACAGACTGGGTTCACTACAACACTAGTGAAACATATTTCCACTGACACGGGTTTGGACCTCACTCTGCGCACTTTGTCCAGCTGAGCCTCATGTCAGCCAAGTGGCAGCTTCTTTGACATCAAGCTGATCGCATCAGTCGCGCAGCATGTCGGCTACCGTGAAACGCTGACACCACCAACCCGCCTCATATCAGCCTTCGCGCTCCCGTATGGTTCTTATATTTTTGATCTACGGGAAGTCGGGAGAGTCTGAGAAAGTGATTCTGCTCGATGTGTGTGTGTGTGTGTGTGTGTGCTGTACGTGTGTGTACAGCATGGATTCCTTGATGTTAAATGAGCAAGCAATACTGTATAGGACTTTCAGTATATTAGACACACACATTAGATCAAAGCGTTCCTGAACAAGCCTGAAGAAGACTCGCTGCATCCCTCCCAAGTGTGTGTGTGTGTTATTCTGTACGCTGCCTGCCATCTGTTATGCATTGTGTAATTTTTATAATTTTAGCTGCAGACTCCCGGGAACTCGATTTTATACACCCACCTACACTCACACATAAACGCTCCGAAGAGGAGACGCACACACACAGATTCTCTGGCAAACGCGTTCATTCACTCACTCATACAATCACTCAGAAACGCTCTCATGCGCCTTCTTTCAGACACATGCACACACACACACACACACACAAACGCGCAGCTAATTCTCTCTGCTTAGCTTTGCAATACTGTAGCAGCTAATCAGGCAGCCAGCCGTGGAAGCAGACAATGGGCCAGATGCTGGTGGCTTAGAGCAACATCCACAAACTCGTGTCTGACTCTGAACGCACACAGGATCAGGAAATCAGACTTTGTGACCCCGTGGGACTGAGATCTAATCACTTGATTTGTTTCCGTTGTAAATAAAAGATGCAGGTAGTCCGTGCTGACGAATACTAAACCACCTCTCGGGGTATAGACGACGCTCCAGAGTTTGGAGTTTGAAAAGACAGACAACAGTTGTTACAGTATTTACCTCCATAGCCGTAGTAATCCATTTGGAGTCATGGTTCGCAACCTTTTGACCTTCACTTTCATCTGCCTTCAAAAGATGAAACCAAAATTGGATTTTGTCTGCATATGGGAATGCAGCCATCTGCCATTGGCATGATTCTGATTGGATTTATACAGATGCAGAAAATAACTTGAACCATTTGTTGAACAGGTCTGATGTTTTGATGCCTGTGTGAAAGAAAAAAACAAAAACAACAAAACAAGCCAAATTTATTTTGCCCTCTAGTCAAGAGTAAAATACTCAAACCATACACGCCACGGAGCAATAAGGGATTAAATCTTGCTTTTCCAAAATCGTTACAGGCGTGGGTGATGAGCAGTGTGACTGCTGTGTAGCTGATAGGTGCTGAGTTAGGGCACCCACATAAACAAATGCATCACGAGGACACTGGAAATCTGGCAGGATCAGCTCAGTGAGGATGTGCTTTTTATTTTACAATCACAGAAGGGACAAATAGAACAGTAGAAGTCTGCATGTGCAGCTATTTTTGGAGTAGAGGAGCATACAACGAGGCAGGTTTGTCATAGCCAGGCTTGTTTTCTGTTAGCTGGCTCGACTAAACCTTAAACCCCAGTCAGAGTTAATGAGTGTCATGACAGCGGTTGTCAACTTTCTTTGTCGACCAGGTTTAGTTCATCAGGCTCTGTCGGTGCTCCCTTAAAGGGGGACATTTGATGCGTCATTTGACTCTTCTTCTGTACACAACTGACTGATCTCCTGCCACCAGGAGGAGCAGGTTGTTGTAGTGGAGAGCATAGACTGTATAAAAGATGGACGTAGCAACCAGCCGTGAAAAATGAAGCCAACCCGGAAGTGTCAAAAACCTACGTCTGCCAGCTGCTGGCTCCAAAAAGCCCTGGCTCCCATAGACTTGAATTGGAAAAGAAGTGATCACAGATCATGAAATACTGCATTCCTAAAGCTCAGGATTTTTTCTTATTAGTTTTCATGGTCAAGTCCAGAGATCAGGTGGCCAATCTGAAAATAAATCAATACTGAATTTTTTTTTAAATCGTCAAATTTTGCGGGGCAAGGGGCGTGGCTGGCTTGATTGACAGTCGGCAGCGACGATGCAGACGAAGCGAGCAGAAGGCGGTAAATGTGGGCGGGCAGAGAGGGCCCGCCTCTCAATCCATCTGATCAATCGCTGCTCCTATGGCTCCGCCCCCCTCCGACGTGTTTTGCGTCACTGGCTCCAAAAATCCAAGATGTCAACCAGGAAGTAGCAAAACCCTGGCTTCATTTTCTCAGTGCAGAAACCAACGGGTGATGTCACGGTAGCTACATCCATCTTTTATACAGTCTGTGGTGGAGAGCTGTGAGGAACATGAAAACACATTACAGGTAATAGTGCTGTTACTGCAAATGATGCAGGAGAGAAATGCTGGGAGAAAACTGTTCATTCTTGAACTAAATATATTTATTTTACCACTCTTAGCGCAGCCTCAGATTACAGCTCTCAACCTTGAAACTTACATTTAAACATGATACTCAAGAGGTGCATTCAGGTCTGACATTGATCTAAAATCAAGGATATGTTAAAATCACTTTCGTTTTTGTGTAAATCAAAATTAAAATAATGTTGACGGAATGTTCTCTGAGCTAAATAGAATCATCAGTTATATCATCTAGATTTTATTAGCGACCATACCAGCAGTATTTTCTGCATCACCAGCTGAATGCGTTGTGCCAGTCGTCAACGCATATAGTTTGCATGACAGTAACTTTAAAACTTCTTGCAGTGGGATTAGTTTGGCTCAACAAGTTTTCATATATGATGTACCCCCCCAACTGGATATCTGTATCACTCAGAGAGAAAGGGGTGAGTGAAAGGGTGGCGCTTTTTATAGCAGATTTAAATCCCAAACTCTCAACAGAACCTCTTCCACAGCATTTCTGCTATACGGCACAGTTACCACGGTGATCTTACGGGATAAAAGACACCCACCTTTGTGACATTAAAAACTCTGGCTTCGGGCTTAACATACCTCGCTAACCCATTAATCTCGCTTCATAGTATCCGCCTCTGATGTAGGATGTATGAAGACATTAATTACAAACAGGATAATAGGTTGAAAGGATGGCTCAGCATTTTGGGAAGTATGCCTGTTGGCGTCGCTCGGTGAGAGAATGTTGACACCTTTCATGTGTCTGTACATTATGGAGCTACAGCCAGCAGCTAGTTAGCTTAGCATAAGACTGGAAACAGGAAGATTTAGTTAACTGTGTCTACAACAGCACCACCTTATCAAAGTAGTCTCAATGTTTGTATTTAACTTTTGGCAGGAAGACAAATATGTGGGTTTTTTTCCTCAAAAAGTGTCTCTTTAACTGGGACAACCCAACAACTGAGTAAAAATCCGCCCCTAGCAGTTGAGTCTGTGGTTCAACTCCCGGTCGCCTGGACCCTCGCTGCATGTCTGGTTCCTGTTTCAGGCTCCACTGTGCAATCTGCATAGAGACAAAAATGTTCCTCGTCATTAGCATTTTCATTCGTCTTGCACACAACCTAAAACACTTTTACGCAAGTTATGTGATATTGCACTGCTATAAAGTTGAGCCAAACTCAAACTGTGTGGTAAACAACACGTTTTAATGTTATAAACGGAAAATTCTGAGTTTTGTCACCTCATGTTCAGAATAACATGTTCAGTCCTTCAAATTGATTTCACACAAACAGGAAGAATATATTTGTATTGATTTGAAACTAAATGAATGTAGTAAAACTAAAGCGGCTTCTATTTTAATTGCTAATCAAGTTTTTTTTTTGTTTTTCTGCTGCGTACAGTACAAAAGCTCTTTGTCATGCGTTTGCCTCTTGCTGTATAAATGTGGTCAAACTTTCCAAGGCTGATCATTTAGCGTTTGGCGAGCCACCCGGAACAGGCCACTGACCCAGTTTGTTTCATCATTTTTTCTGCAAACACACAAAAACATGATGAAGCGTTGGCTCGCGGTGCCGGTGATCCTGGCAACTTTGAACTGCACGAACCAGTTCTCAGACTCAGTTGATTACTGCCCCCTAGTGGTGACATGGAGAAGGACAGAAGTGATGAAGAAATGAGGAAAAGAGAAGAAAAAAAAAAAGAGGATAAATGTTAAAAAGAACACTTGGAGGAAGGAAAGAGGAGCCTGTAGGTAATTAGACACACTTTAGTTTGAGGTTAATATCTGAAACACGGTAATCAGGTTGTAGTGGGAGCTTAAGACTCACTGCATGAGCTGGTAGAGGTCATACTGTCAGGTTTAGAAATGTGACGTTTATGTATTGCCTCGTCTTTCCGTTCTGACCCCTCCATTTTTCACTCACTTTCTCCTCTTTTTATCGTACCTTTATTCTCTTACCACACCTCTACCTCCTTTTTTCTCTCACCCACTCCCATCTGTCATCCACGTGCTCCGTCCATTTGTTTATTACTTGGCTGCTTAATGTAATGGGAGGACAACTTCTCCCCTGTTCACTGTAAGCAGAATGATTACACAAGGCCACTTTTTTTTTTCTTCTGTGCGACTCTGTTAGCCAAGCCAAAGGACTTACAGCAGATTTGTTACTTTAATCACACTGGGACATATTGTTTTCAGGATAGCATTTGAAAAGATGTGGTTTTTGACCCACTGGCTCTCTGAGTTGCTTGCTGCAGGGCACGGAGCCCAAGTGGTGATACACAACACAGTTTTCTTTTGGCCCATGGAGTCAGGCAGCGCTCCCGGCAACAGGCAACAAAGGGAGACAAAAGGGAGGAAAATCGATTCCAGTGTTTTCTGCTAGCAAAATGTCTCCTGGCAACAAAATGCTCCTTTTGTGATTAAGGCAGCTTTGCTTAGGCAAATCATTAGCCACTGCTTATCATTGGAGTGAACCACAGTGTTGCCCTATGTGTTATTGCTTTAAGTGGCTGTGGATAAGCATTAGCCGAGCGCACCAGTTCTGTTTGTAAGCAGCTTTCTCCTCTGTCTTTACTTCTGATTGGCTGAAGCTGCACAATTCTGCCGCTTCCATTCATTTATTCAAACTAACAAACCAAACAACTAAATAATAACTCTAAAATTAATTGCAGTTGCTTTGCACAGACTCATTTTTGCCCTCTCGTGTATTCTCCCTCCCTCTCTTTCTCTGTCCAGGTATGACCTTCCTCAGTACGGCAGTCGCAAGAAGCTGATCTCGCCCTCCGGCCTCTACGATGAATATGGAGAAGTTGTTGTCGATGACGATGGAAGCTACTACTACAGCCCACAGGAGTCTGACGGAGAGGTAAAGACAGAGAAACACAGCAGAAAACAGAGGATAAATCGTTAGATATCCGCTAATACAGGATGGTAACTGTGTCCATGAAAAGAAAACCAACTGTTGATGACATTTTCACAGCATTCTGATTAATTCTAGGTCTGCTTTGTGGTTGTTTTCTGGAGTTCGTTGGAATTTCCTAGTATTTCTAAAAAATCAAGCTCGTTTGTAAAATATTAATTATGCTCCCAGACTGCTTTGAAAAGTAGTGAGACACCATATTTTTAAAAGAATAGTTCAGCAGTTGGAGAAACAAGATCATTCACTCTCTTGCCAATGGCTAGCTGAGAAGATTAACACCAGTTTCAAGAGCCCAAGGACTGGAAATAGAGGAAACAAGTTGGCTGCTCTGTCTGAAGGAAACAAGAATCACTGTTTAACACTTTATGAGACCTTTCCACATCCCTACAAAAACAAAATCTCATGCATGATCTTCTCATCTGTCCCTAATCCCAGAAGTTGTATACTCTCATTTGCACTGTACACGTATTATTTTTCTCCTTTTGAAAATAAACAGCGACCAATAAACACAAGCAGCCTGTGACAACGAGCTAGTGCTAACTAGCCTCTAACTCTGCTCTTGACGATGCTGCTGATGCCTTTAGATGTATAAATGTCTTGCTTGTTCACTTATCTTATTTGTTTTTGGACTGATGTCGTCACGGCAACAGGTGAGGAGACAGTTTCAAGGAGACAGATTAGCCCCGCACCCCTCATACCTTCAGCACCATCCTCTACCTGTTCCACCCCCGAGAAAGACCCCGGGACCGCCAAAAACCGAGGGCGACAAAAAACAAGAGGCTGTAAACTCTAAACCTAAGAGCTCGAGCGCAGCTGCCAGGTTGAAGGCCGTGATGAGGATGAGTACCCTGCTGTCATCTGCTGGTAAAACATCCGGACAGCCTCCTGCCATCCACCCACCGTGGAACAAAGCCAGAATCGGACCAGTAGAGGAGGAGGGCAGAGGCAGAGAAAGAGCCGAGGAAAGAAAGGCAGAAGGAGAAGAAAGGGGGGTTGAGAAGGGAGAGGCAGGGAGAAGGGAATACAAACGGGGAGGAAGAGATGAAGCAATAGAAAGAGGGAGAGAACAGGAAGGAAGGGGAGAGATGGAGGCATGGGGGAGAAGCAACAGAGGTGGCATTACGAACAATGGAATGAGAAATGCAGTTGGAAACGGCGTCAGGCCAGAGCACAGGGGAGAACTCCCTGGCTTGTTGTCCTCTGGCCGGTCTTTAAGCCTGGACGGCAGCTTGGTCATCGATGGGAGTTATTTCCAGACGTCCATTGAAGCAAGCAAACCCCCAGCAATGAAACAAAAGCTGAGCGAGGCCCTCAGTCTTATCTCCGTAACCAGAAGGCTCCAGGGACCCGCCAGGGTGGGAGATGAACAGTGGAGCGATGCGAAAAGCTGGGACAGAGCAGAGGAGAACAGTAGGAAGATGTATGGCTCCATAGGAGATATGAGTGTCTCTGCATCGGTGTCGGAGAGAGACGCAGGAGAGGAGAGGAGGAGGAGGAGGAGGAGGAGGGCGTTTGGAGAGGAGAACAGCTCTTATGAGGGCTGGTGGAAAAAAGAAAAAAGATTTCACGACGGCGTCGAGCAAAGCGATTCGGAAACGGGAAGCGGTAGCAAAGAGTCTCCGTCAGAGTTTAGTCTCTCCGATGCAAGCAGCCCCACCTCATCTGTTACAGCAGAGAGAGACAAGACCGAATCTGATACAGAAACAGAAAAGACTGAGTCAGACACAGAAAAGGGAGAAGGAAGCCAGGATGAGGAGGGAGAGGAGTCTGAGAAGGAGTCGGGGTTAGAAAGTGAAGACGAGAGGAGAAAGTCGAGGAGAAGAAGTGGTAGTTCTACAAGTAGCAGCAGAATCAGCAGTAAGAGCAGAACAGGACGAGAACGCAGGAACCACTCCACCAGCAGCAGGGAGACGGGTAGAAGCAGCAAATCTACAAGTTCTAGATACTCGAGTTCTAGTTCCAGTTCCAGGCCCAAAACTTCTAGACACTCGCGTTCTTCACACGAAACAAGAGAGGAGGAGGAGAGCGAAGAAGACAGCGAGGAAGATGAAGAAGAGTTCCAGAGCGTTAGATCAGGAAGGTCCTCGTCGAGCAGGCGAGCCTCCAGCCACAGCCAATCAGAGATCAGCTCTGGGGTGATGGACACCTCGGATGACTTGTCGCCCATCATCGAGGACACCGAGGAGGAAGAGGAGGAGGAGGAGGAGGAGGAGAAAAGCAGCAGCCACGGTGGGGGAGATCAAGGAGATGAAGAAGAGGGGGATTTGGGGAGCGAGTCGGCTGATTGAAATGCAGATGAGGCCTCAGCCCCCTACCAAGATTAAATTCTGTGCCACTGAGTAAGGTCTTGGTGAAAACGCCTGGATTGGGTGTGCAGTCATTACCTGAGTGGAATTTATTACTGTAATCTCTTCCTTTTTTCCTTGTTTGGTGTGATTTACATTCAGAAGTCTGAATTGCCAACTCGTCCTCCGCTGCCCTCTCGCAGTATCTCTTCTCCGTAGCTTCCCTTTTTCTTTTTTTTTGGCTTATATCTTTAAGCTCCTTTTTCCAATCAGCCTGTCCCTTCTCCGTCTCCTTCGTCTGTCTTGTGAAGTGGTCGCCAGGTTTCCGTAGTTTTTCTCCTGAGCCGACTCGTCTCGCTTTCCCTTTTTGTAAAAGCTTCACTACCAGCTGATTATTTCTGTGCTGCTGCTGTTATTCGCTGACCTCTCTTTGGTACACTTAAGGTTTCCCTCAAGCTTTTTTTCATTAGTCATTTCTGTGTCTGTCTTTCTCCCGTACCAGTCAGTTCTTCCAGTACTTGTTATCTGCGGGGAGAAAAGATGTTTCCTTTGTAATGGAGAATACACACTTTTCCTCCATACGATCAAGGTTAAATGGAAAAACTGTGCGGGTTGTGTAATCGCAGATCAGAGTTATTTCCACAACATCCCCTTTTCTTCTCACAAAGTGTGTGTGTGTGTGTGTGTGTGTGTGTGCAGCAGTGTTGGCTCTCAGCGAACAAAGACGATGCAGTTACACAGTGTTTTATGTTATAAAGGCTTATATCCAATATGGGGGATCAATATATAGTATATTTTTAAAAGCTTTTCCTCAGATTATCTAAAAGCTGTTCTGGAGGAAACACTGCTGCACTGGCTTGACTTTGCCTGCTCTGAGTGGGAGTGCTGCTTTTATTCTGCACATTTTCTTGCTTTTACAGGACAAACATCCAATTAAGTAGAAGGCAAATAAAACTGGCCACAAATTATATTTGAGCTCGTAGGATCTTGTTGAGTCTCCTGACCTCTAGTGGTTAAAGTTCTCACCTTGTAGCAGCCAGAAACCAGATCAGGTCAGTGAGAGAACGCTTCACCCTGATGTTTACAGGTTAGGTCTTCAAACCACAGTCACATGTCCGTATGTACACTGACATCTTTATGAGTCACCGTATTCTTGTCATCGCTCAGATCCAGCTGAAGAAAGATCCAATGGGATGTCAGTGTCAGAGATGAAGGACAAACTTCCTGCTGCTCTCTCTGCGCCAAAAGTTCCAAAGTTTAACCGAAACACTGCCTCAGTTGTCGCAGTTTGAAATCAAATAGACGTTCTCTCGTGTTTAATTAGTACCATATTCCTTTAAACTACACTCATGGCTGGTTCTGGGAACAGTAGATTTACACAAAATAAGTTTTGGACCCCTTTATCGACTCAAAATTTTAAATTTCACCAAAGCTAATGTGGTCTACAACAAAATAGCTGCAAAATCCCCATCAGCCCCTCTTCATTTTAACAGCATTGTCGGTGGTGAACATATCTGAGCTGTATGTAGCCTCGCAGAGCTGCTAGCATGACTGTAGACGACTCTGCATTGATGGAGTTCAGCAAGGAGAAGCTGCTCAAGGAGATTTTTTCACTAAATTTGCTATAAATATAGCTTTAGCTGAACTCATAAAGGTGTTTTGGGAGAACTGTATGAAGGCAGACTTGTGAACCAATCCTTTAAGCAACACTTCTCAAACGCTGTTACTATTAAACACAAAGAAGCATCGTTAGGGAAACAGTTTAGTACCGTCGACGGAGTGTTTAGGCCTGATCAAGAAGGCTTTTTTTGATGGAGCAAACATGACAAGACAAATGAGCATGAGTTAGCTCTCTGAGCCCCAAAACCCGCTGGCTGGTTGGTTGGTTTTCTTTTTCTTTTTTTAATTCATCAAACTTACAGCATTTATCCCAACTAAGAAAAATAGCAAAACTGAACTTAAAATGGTGGTATTTTATGATAAATGCATTCTGTGGTCTTATTCAAAAATGTTGCCAATATGTAATTTGCGCCTGATCCAGTATAATGTCAACCGAGACCATCCCTAACAGTCGCTGAATGACTTTTTGGCTGAACTGCAGGCTGTGTTTACGCAGTGCAGAGATGAAACAGCCAGAGAGATTGAGTGAACCATCTAATATAACACAGCTGATCAATATAATTAATGCAGCATGGCTCAAATATGGTAAACAGTGGAGCAAATAGTGAGGAAATTGCTAGAGGATACATTCAGCATGGTGAAATATCTACAAGAGTGTGGAGAGTAGTGTGAAAAGTGTCTGGTTTGTAGAGGTTGTAAAATGTAAATAGACCCAGTGTAGTAGCCTATCTACAGCATATGGAGCCCTCTTTTTTCCATAATGTAGATGTACATTAAGACAATTACATATAAGATAGATTTTTTAAAGGTTTTTCTTTTTAATATAACATTTTCATCAATTTTATAGCATTAGACGTGTGACATATTACACAAAAAAGTCCTCCCTACTTCTTGCCGTGGCTGTGATGTTTTCATAGAGGTGCAGGACTTTTTATCGCAGTGAAACAACGCCCTGAAGCTGGTTACAGTTCAGAGGGTTAAACGGCAGCAGACAACCAACATGAGGCAAAGGATCCAGAAACCAGCTCTATCTTCTTTCTATCATTGCTGTGTCGTGCGTTTCTCTTGCCTGAACAGAGTCATAAAAAGTGAAAGAACATTAATGGGACCTTTAAAGGTCAGCGGTCTAATGCCGTATTATTTGTGTGTGGGTTTTCCAGCAGGGCAGCAGAAAACGCCGGATCAAGTTGGTGTTTGACCGAGAGTACGAGACCAGCTCCACCGGCGAGGACAGCCTGCCGGAAACCCAACGCAGCCGCCTGCCCTCCACCCACAACAGCCACGTCAACGTCAACGGAAGCATCTACGTGGCCCAGAACGGCTCCATCATCCGCACCCGACGTTCAGTGAACGCCACAGGCCCCACGCACACCACCACCACCATCGCCTCCTCCACCACCACGAACAACAACCTCAAAATCACCTCGCCCATCTTCAGCTCGCGGCTGGCCAAGCACTTTAAAAAGCTCGACAAAATGGCCGCCACGCTGGAGGAGAGGGTGCCCCTGAACAGCCCCCGGATAGCAGCGGACGGCGGGTGCAAGACGCTGCGCACCTTCCAAAGCTCGGGAACGGCCATGTCCACTTTCTCTAACAGTGACCACACGAAAACGCTGAATGTGTTTAACACTCGACAATCCAGTGTTTCTTTAGGGTCGACCAGCACCAGCAACGCGGGCCCTGAGAGCGTAGCTTTGAAATCAAACCTGCTGAAAGCGGCGCAGGGCATCGCAGAGCCGCCTCAGAGCGCCGCGGAGAGAGACGAGTTGAAAGAAGACGAGAGGGAGTCGAAGGTAGACGGCAGCGACGACGACGGACTCGTTATGAGAGAGCCGCTGGAGTGCCCGAGTGACAGAACACAGTCGGACGAGGAAGAACTGTGGATGGGCCCGTGGAACAGCCTTCACATACCCATGACCAAACTCTGACTGATCCTGATGCCACTGTGCTCGTTCATTATTGCCAAGATCTTTAGAACATCATTTCTGTTCATTAGTCGTGGAACTAATGGGGATGCTGCAATCCAAGAAATCTAATTTACAGATTCGGCTAAAAGGTGAATTGATTTCATTCCTCATGTAACAGCTGAGGTAATCTCATTTATTTACATTCAGAGACAGATGATAGAAGTACTTAAGGAAGAACACCTTTGCACTGGTTGAAATATCTGTTCTGTAACTTCTCAGCATCCAAATGTGAGCATCCCTTGAGCCCGATGATCTCAGAGCTGCAACACCTTCAACAAAACTGGACCTAGAATGAGAGAACTTGTTATATTTCTATTTTGATAAGAGATAATGAAAGAGGAACAAAAGTATATGAACTGTTTTTTTTGTTGTTGTTTTTTTTCCTGGCCCTTTAAGCGACTGGTGTCTGTATGGAGCTGAGCTTGTTTCATTCAGTATTACTACGGCTACTGGTGCGACTCATCTTGGATTTGCCTGACACATTTCATTGACACATGAAGTCTTGTATTGTTCACACTTGCCTTTTTATCCTTGTCAAGTTACTTGGCAGACTTTATCCAAATAAAATTTCATTCATTGAAATGTGGAGCTCGGCTATCTTGGTGCTTTGTGCTGATGTTTGCTGAAGAAGACGCGACCATGATGAGGTTTATTTTCTTTCTATTGGCTATATTGCCTGAGAGTTAGACGAAATGATCGATACCACTCTCATACGTGTCCATTAAATATGAAATGACACTGAGAAGATGCTTTGGTTTACCTCATGGCTCACAGCAGGGAAGAAATAATCTGACACAAAACCCTCAATAAAACTTATCAACTTCACAATTTTTTGTATTGATTAAATAAGAAGGAGCCGGTTGATGCCGTCTTCAGTCTTCTTGCTGAGCTGAGCTACAGTTGTGAACTTTACATACACTTGTAAAGACGAGTTTCCTTTGAATCTTAACTTTCTATGGTGGTGTTATTATAACGTGCTGCTTTGTCACAAACAACAATCATGCATTTTGGTTCTTTCTGGAAAAATGTCACAATCTGCTTACCAAAAGTATACATACGGCAACTTTAATGATCAGTTCTGGTGATATAGAAAGTCTTGCTAAGCTAATTTTCTTTGTGGCCTCTTAACTTCTCTTACGTGATGACAATTCACTACAGCTGCTGACTTCGGTCACATTTAACACACTCATTAGACTCAGCGAGAAAAGCTATGATGGGATAGTTTAAAGCGATTATTGACTTGAACAAGTCAAGAAAGTCACTTGGAGCCATTTCAAAACATCAACAGGTCCCAAGATTATCTGTGCAAACATTTATTTGTAAGAACAAAGTGTAGGACACAGTTGTGTCAAGATCAGGGGGAAAAAAACAATCACCTGCTGCTGAGAGACAGTCAGTCAGGATGGTCAAGAGTCAACCAAGAATCAGCAAAAAGCTGATCTGCATCAAGGATTCAAGGATTCAAGGAACTTTATTTGTCATGCCAGCTCACATTCACATGTCAGTGGTATGAAATTTGTACTCAGGTCCTGTTTTTTTTTAGGGAAAAAGCCTAATAAATAATAAGTACAATAAAACAAGAGCAAAATATAAAAACAAGAGCAAAATATAAGCAGCGATCATTTAGAAGCTACTAGAACAAAGGCTTCAGTGTCCACAATCAAACATGTTCTACATCCGCATGAGCTGAGAGGCTGCCATGCAAGAAGGAAGCCCTTCCTCTGGGAGGGTACGTTAAGGCTCGACTTGAGTTTGCTGCTGATCACGTAGACAAAGAAAAGGCCTTCTGGAGAAAAGCTCTGGAGTCAACAAAAGAAACAAAAACTGAGCTATTTGGCCACAATATGCAGAAATCAGTTTGGAGGAGAGAAGGTTTAACCACAAGAAAACTACACCTACAGATGCATGGTGGTGGTAGCATCATGGTCTGGGGCATTTGCTGGAGTGGAATGGAATAATGACGAGAAGGAGGATGACCTCTACATTCTTCAGAAAAACCTAAAATAAATCATCAGCCCGAAGGTTGGGTCTTGTGTTTCAGACTGACCTCTCTGAAGTCCAGACTTACATTCCTTCAACAACCTGTGGACTGTGCTGAAAAAACAAGTCTGTGTTAGAAAGCCAATGATTTTAGTTGAACTGCACCAATTCTGTCAAGAAGAGGGTCAAAGATACAAGCAGAGGTTTGTGAGAAGCTTGCAAACGGCTGCCAAAAGCACCTGGTTGAGGTTAAAAAAAAACAAAAAAAAGGCAAACAAATTTCAAGCTTCCAGAAGACCTGTGAAAAATGTATGAAAAAACAGAAACGAATGATTGTTTTTGGAACAAAGTTTGGGTTTTAATGGTTCCATCATAGAAAACTAAAAGTCATCCTTATCATCAGAAACTCAAGACTGCCACGATACACATGGTCTTTACAAGTGTGTGCAAACTTTAGTTCATTTTTGCCACATAGGCATTGGAATGGTCCTGATGATAAGTGAGTGCACTCATGTGAAAAGCAAATAAGCATATTTCCAAATTTCTTTTTTTAATTTGATTAAAATCTGTGAGATTTAGAAAACTCTTACACATAATTACTTCTTCTGTGGCTTTACTGGATAATTGCATTTTTTAAATTCAAACAGATTCTGTTTGGAAAGAAGAGCTTGTTTTTAGCTCCACTGGGCCACTGAGGAACCCAGCTAACATGGATCCTTCTCCCTCGTCCAACTCCACCGTGATAAAGGTGGAGGAACTTTTTAATTGTCAACCACATTACAGTGAATTGTTTAATTTGAAGTCTTGAAGAAGCCGCACCATTAAGCTGCAGAATTACGAGCTTTTAAAACTCTCGCATTTAATTTGACGACTGCATAATTTTGCATTAAGGGGCTCAACAGAGGGTGCCGTACCAGTGGTGGTATTTGAAACTGAGCGCTGCTTATTACCTAGAATTAGCGAACTGTACCGCAGAGTCATATTTTAAACAGCCTATGGAAGGAAGGGCACGTCTGAGCGGCTGTTATTGATTCAACCAAATGAGCTGATTGTGTCAGTGATTCCTGAGTCCACTGTACTTCACCGGGGGAGAAGGCAAACTGAACTCGGCTCATTAAGCTAAGACACGGGCACAAAAGATTTGATTAGGAGCCGGAATGACATTAAAAGTGATGTATTATGTGTGCTTCTTCCTAAATGCAAAGTTTTGCTCAAATTCATTGGATCTGACATGAATCTAACTGACAGGTTGAGAACAAATGCAGAGGCATAAAACACACAGGTTCCTTCGTTTTCCTCACATGGGGTCGTTCATTTGGCAGATAAAGAAAGAAGAAGCGTCAACATTTTTATGCTAATCACCACTCATGAAGATCTATGGCCTTTTTCACAGCAGATATTTTCTCTTGTCACGGCGAACCGTGGATGATACGAA